ATGAGTGTGAATTTCATTAAGGAACGCATGAAATTAACCAACATGTTTTGATGCACCAAATACACTTGCACATAATTTTATGCATTTAAACAATAGCACTGACATACAAGTTCTCTGTGTTAGAAGTCTTAATTGCTTCCAAGGTCAAACTCGTAAGCTGTTGCATTTGGCTCTGACTGCAAAAAAAAAAAAGTATCAGGTGCCAGGCTCACCCCCAGTGTTTCCTTCCAGTTTTTGAAATGTCACCTTTCACCATGGCAGCAAATACCTTTTCTCTCATTGGAAGGGAAGCTGTTGCAATGTTTCCATACAAACCCATTGCACAGCTACTTTGTTATGAGAAATACTGCTTATAATGAAATGGCATTCGTTGACTAACTCATTTTTCATGGGAGAAAGGGTTTTGGTCCCAAACATTCAGTCTCCAGGTGGCACCGAGAGATTCTGGGGGAGGAGCTCCGATGCCCAGACAGAATCAAGCACAGTAGTGAGTATTTTGGAGCACAGTTCTTGTTTTTCCAAGGTTGAATACAGTTTGGAGAATTACTTTCTCTGTGTCTTTCAGATACACGTGAGGTCTCCATTTATTACACTTTAGATGGAAGTAAACCAGAACTCATTGGGAAACCTGGATATGGAGAGTGTAACACTTTTAAGTATAAGGGCCCTATCACATTACCAGTTGGGAAAATAATAGTCAAGGCAATGGCAGTTACAAAGTAAGTGTCCTTATATTCCAGTCGTAGCTGTAGCCGTATTGCTCGAATCATTCCATACCTTGCAAATGAGAGATGCTACTTCCCCATCCAGTTTGCGATCTAAATGAATCTTCATGAATTGCATCAGCTTTTCTTTCCCATTACATTTTTTTTCCATCAAGTGTTTGTGTTGTCAGATTATCTCTAGGACGTTTACCTCCTGGGCTGTGGATGTAGGCCAATGATCCTTGGAGGCTGTGGGTGAGAATCTAGGACGCTGCACTTAGAGCTCAGCTTTTTGAGTGTGATCATCTGCAACGCCAGAGGAATTACTATGGTGTTTTCTTAGGTCATCCAGTGG